TGAATATCAATATAAAAACAACATTGAATAAAGATGTAAGTGTGGCTGCATTGTTCAATACAAGATAGTTATAGAAACACATCAACGATTATTCATGTTCAATGTATTCTTATTATGATGGAATATTTTTAAACTTAATTTGGTCTATATTTTTGCATTCAAAGAATCCGCTAATGACTCGATTAGGTAATATATCTTTAAATTTATCCTTTAATTAGAAGTACATAGTAGTAAAAAATAATAATATATTTTCTATATATAAAAAAAGAACAAGTGGGGAGTATATATATGTACACTAGATTTTAACCCGCGGTACATCGCGGAACTACATTTTAAAATGTATTCTTTTTATTAATTTTGTGAGTATATAAGAGTGTACTACTATATTTTGATTGTTAATTCTATGATTTAACCCGTAGAATATTATGTGGTAGTTTATTTTTTATATAATCGTCATTTGATCAAAATAATTAAATAAGTATAATATTTAAAGTAATGAAATGATATTGACATAATATTTGTTTACATAGTATAATTTTATATGAAAATATTTTGTGAGTTATACTATAGTAGACAACCTGTAAAAATATCTATAATCATAATTATGTAAATTATAACCTGTTTCATCACATGACCCGTGCTACACAATTATCAATATTACTTTAATACATCCATTTCTGTATCGTTTGAGTAATACATCCGTTTCTAAAAATTCAAACTGCAACATATGCAAAAAAAAATTATATTTTTACTATACATATGTTTATGTAATAATATAAATTTAAAAACAAATAAGGTCATATAAAGATATTGGAGAAATATTTGATCTATTAGGGAGAGATTTTAGGAAACTTTGTTAAATGTAGTAAATATTGAATTCTAATTTTGCAATTTTATTATGATTTAATTGCATAATTGCAAAATTTATCTTAAACTTTTTCTATTTAATCAAATGGCAAGGGTTTAATTATGAAAATATAACAAAATAAAAGGGTAGAACACAAAAGGTACTTCAAAAATGTTAATATAGATTTCTAAAAATTCAAACTGCAACATATGCAAAAAAACATATTATATTTTTACTATACATATGTTTATGTAATAATATAAATTTAAAAACAAATAAGGTCATATAAAGATATTGGAGAAATATTTGATCTATTAGGGAGATATTTTAGGAAACTTTGTTAAATGTAGTAAATATTGAATTCTAATTTTGTAATTTTATTATGATTTAATTGCATAATTGCAAAATTTATCTTAAACTTTTTCTATTTAATCAAATGGCAAGGGCTTAATTATGAAAATATAACAAAATAAAAGGATAGAACACAAAAGGTATTTCAAAAATGTTAATATAGATAATGATGCATAAAAGTATTAAGATAACATCATATCACGAAGAAAAAAAATAAAAACCATTGAATCAATTACTTGAAGAAAATGAGAATCATAAGATATATGGTAGTACTTTCGTTGATTGTACTTCTTCTCAACTTATGTGAGAATTTCTTTTAGTTTTTTCAATGTGAGTACTAACTAATTTATGAAAATTAGTACTTAACTAAAAATTACTTTTTTTTCCAGGTATTGCACAAGAAGATAGAATTAAGAAGGTGGAATCTGCAGCGAGACGTTTGATGGCAGTTAAGGACGTTAGCTCTTATGACGCAGATCTTAGTCTCTATCAAGATCTCACTTCTAACTACCCAGAACAGCTCGAGGAAGAAGAAAGAGTAGAGAGAGAGAGTGAGAGCTAAGATAGAGAGAGAGAGATAAAGCTGAACTATTCTCATTAAGTGTAAAATATAGTTACAACAGTGTATATATACAACCTGTATTTCAGATATAATACATGATTGTATATACTAAGTAAAACTAGAGAGTAAAATACTCATGATACACCCCCGCAAACCTTTGAATCCGAACTGAGAGAAGGATTATAAAGGTTTGACAAAGACATTCGAACCAGTAAAGTATGAAAAGGCTTTGGGTGTAAAGCTTTGGTCAAGATATATGCTAGTTGATTTTCACTGTCAACAAGAAGCGCCTTGAGATTGCCTATCTTGATCTGATCCCGTGTAATTTGACAGTCGATCTCAATATGTTTTGTCCTTTCGTGAAACACCGGGTTTGTGGCAATGTAGATAGCCGACTTGTTATCACAAAATACTTTGGCAGTAGTAGTAACTTGAACATTGAAATCCCTTAGAAGCTGTTGAATCCATAAGATCTCTCTTGTGCAATCAGCTAAACTTCTGTATTCAGCCTTTGTACTACTGTGACTAGCTACTTGCTGTTTCTTAGATTTCCAACTGATTAGTGAACTCCCAATATACACACAAAAACCAGAAACAAATCTTCTTGTATCTTTGCAAGTTCCCCAGTCTGAATCAGCAAATGCATTTATGCAAATATCGGTATGTATAGAGTAAAATATACCTTGACCTGGGCTCCCTTTGAGATACTTTAGTACTCGATATGCTGCTTGGAGATGTTCATCGGTTGGTCACTGAATATATTGGCTGTGTTTATGTACCGCAAAGGTGATATCTGGCCTTGTTATTGTCAAATATAACAATCGGCCTATGATCTCTCGATATTGCCTGGCAGAATCCAACTTCATGCCTGATTCAGCAGTCAATGTAACATACGGATCCATAGGAACATCACTAGGCTTACAAGCCAATAAGCCAGTGTCTTCTAGGAGATCCAAAATGTATTTTCTCTGACTTACTGATATTCCCTTTGAGGTTATTGCAATTTCCAGTCCAAGAAAGAATCTAAGAGGTCCTAGATCCTTAATCTTGAAAGCTCTAGCTAAAACAGCTTTAAGAGCAGCTAGGTCTGTTGCACTATTACTAGCTATAGCTATGTCATCCACATAAACCAACAAAGCTATATAACTAGTTTCTGTCTTCTTAGTGAACAGTGTTGTATCTGATTGTGACTGCACAAACTGAGCCTCTAGGAGAATAGATGTAAAAAGCTTGTTCCACTGCCCTGATGCTTGTTTTAAACCATATATGGACTTGTGCAATCGACAAACTGCATTAGGAGGAAGTCTTTCAGATGAACCTGGAGTATAACCTTGGGGAAGACTCATGTAGATCTCCTCTTCTAATTTACTATGCAAGAAGGCATTAGATACATCCATCTGACTAAGATCCCAACCTTCCTTAGCAGCCAGACCTAACATCATTTTCACACTTGTCAGTTTAGCCACAGGGGAAAAGGTTTCATTAAAATCTACACCTTCTTGTTGTGTGAACCCTTTAGCCACCAATCTGGCTTTGTATCTTTCTATGGTACCATCTGAGTGATATTTGATGGTGAAGACCCACTTGCAGCCCACAACATTTTTCCCTGGTGGTAAGGAAGTGATGCTCCATGTCTTGTTCAACTCCATAGCATACAGTTCTTCCTTAAGAGCACCCTTCCATTTCTCGGATGTCATAGCTTGGTTAAATGTTTTGGGTTCAGTTTCCATAGAATAAGAAAGAATGTAGGAACAATAGGTGGGTTTTAGAGTATTATAAGATATAACAGAAGATAAAGGATAAGGAGTAGTATGATTAGAAGGTAAAGATGGAGAAATTTGTGCTAATGCACAATGGTACTCAGATAAGTAGTTGGGTGCCTTAGCAGCCCGTTTTGATCTTTCCCTAGGTAGTGAAGCTACTGTAGTATGTGAAGTCACAATAGTAGTTGTATTCGTGTCCCTAGCCTCCCTATCTAACATATTGGTATCAATATTAACAACTGGTTGTAAAAAAATTTCAGAAATTTCAGAAATATAAGGAACTGGACAAGGAAGTATACTATGTGAGAAAAAATCAGGAATATGTATATCTGGATTTAGAAAGGGAAAGACATGCTCATGGAAAACAACATTCCTAGTAATTGAAATAGCATTTGTCTCTATATTCAAAACTTTATAGCCCTTATATCCTGCTGGATATCCCAAGAAAACACAAGATTGTGCTATGGGAGTGAACTTAGTTCTATCCTTTTGCAGTGTACTAGTATAACAAAGACAACCAAAAGTTTTCAAAACAGAGTAATCAGGTTTCTTTTGTATTAATTTCTCATATGGTGAAATGTTTTGAAGCAATGGTGTAGGTACTCTATTTATCAAAAAAGTAGCAGTCAAAACACAGTCATTTCAGTAAGCAATTGGTATACTTGATTGAACAAGCAATGCACGAGCTACATTCAATAATACAAGTAATGAATTATACCATGTTCTTTTATTAGATTTGTAAAAGATAGTTCAGGTGCATTGTCACTTCTTATTGATTTAACTGTAGCATTATATTGAGTAGAAACTAATTTCAAGAAAGTTGGAAAAATCTGTAAAACATCATTTTTATTCTTTAACATATAAACCCAAGTGACTCTTATACAATCATCTACTATGGTAAAGAAATACTTATACCCTTCTATTGACTCTACAGAAAATGGTCCCCATATATCCAAGTGAACCAAATCAAATGGATGTGGAGAAACATTGTTATTAAAAGGAAATGACAACCGTTTTTGCTTAGCTAGGGGACTTATGGAACAGTGTTCTAGACTCGACAAAAAGGACTTAGTAAAAGAAAGAGTACCACACAACAATTGTAAAGTGGCAGCTGAGGGATGTCCTAAGCGTTGATTCCAGATACTTCCATCTTCAGACATAGAACCACAAAAATTGATCATGACAGGAGACTTAGCAGGTGTAGAAAGGGAGTGCAGATCCAAAATGTACAGATTATGTAAAAACCTTTTATAAAAAAAAATTAAATACAAGGGTTATAAAAGGTTTTTACAATCTTTTAAATACTTCACAAAACCTTATAAAAGCATTGTAAAACTTTTTAAAAGTCTTTTAAAACCTTTTAAAAACCTTAAAAAGGCTTGTAAAATCTTTTAAAAACTTTTTTTTTTAAAGTCTTCTAAAAACCTTTTAAAAACCTTATAAAAAGCTTGTAAAAAATTATAAAAGGCTTGTAAAATCTTTCAAATGCTTTTTAAAATCTTTATACACATTTTAAACACCTTATAATAGTCTTGTAAGACCTTTTAAATACTTTAACATTATTTCCATAGGTTTTCAAAATTTGTAAGACCTTATTGCTTTGTATTTTACGTGTAGCATCATGATCATAATATTATTTACCATGATCATGATCATACATATGAATCTACATATAGCAAAGAAACAAGGAAGAACATGGATGAGAACAAGCACCACTATAGCTCCACACCACAACCTTTTACAAATGCAAGCAAACACCACCAACATTTTTCCAGCTGCAATTCTCACACCTGAAATCCCCCACCTCAACATTGGAACCAAACAAGGGATTGATCCTTCACATATAACAACTTCTTTAACAGTAGGACACAAAGCTATATTCCTCATAAGCTTTATAGTCGCCTTTAGTCCAACCAACAACACCACAATCCATTAGGAAAACCGTGATATTATGAAGATTCCAAACTGTATCAAACACATTAAAGATCAATTTAAAACCTTTTAAAATGCTTTTAAAAGGTTTGTAATTTTTTTTGGTACACTAAGATTATGAAACGAAAACTAAATTTCAGATTATACCCTAATGAATATGTACCTATTCTATTCAATTTTACCCAAAATTTATATGGATTCTACAAAATTAATACAAACCTGAATAATGGATTCAACAATCCATAACTAACGACGACGACAAGTGCTCTACCAACGACGACGACGTTAGAAAGAGCAGATCCAGAGAGATGATGGAGAGAGAGCGCAGATCCAGAGAGATGAGATCCAGAGAGAAGCAAATCGAAAAAGTAGATCGAGTATTGAGAGAGAAGAGATCCAGAGAGAGAAGAGATGCAGAGAGAGAGAGAGAGAAGCTCTCCAGATAGAGAGGAGATGCAGAGAAAGAAGAGATGGAGAGAGAGAGAAACGATGTAGAAGAAGAAATGATGGAGAAGGAGAAAAAGGTTTTTGCAATTAGGTTAAATCATTAAGGGTATAATTGTCTTTTTGTACAAAAAGAATAGTAAATTTAAAAATGTTCTCCCCACTAGGGCATTTTTAAAAATGTATTTCCCAAAAGGGGCATTTTTTAAATTGTCCCATAATAAAATGATTAGGATGATGAGATGGCTTAAGGAGAAAAAAGAAAAGCCTACTTTATATATATAGATATATATATGAATTTATTATTTCACAAAAATTTTGAAATATATCATTATCTATGGTTTGCAAGCACTCATTGCCTTTGTCATCATCTTCTATCCCCACAACCACATATCTACTATTCAAGATTCTCCATTTTGATATTTATATTGAATTATGAACTATAATTTGGCCAAAACAATATTAAAATTAAAACATAGGAAGATAAACTATAACCATTACGGATTTTTGTTTTGTTTTTTTCTAAATATATATTTTGATAATGCGTATCTATTCTCGTCATTTTTATATATTTTATTTTACCTATTAATTCACTTACAATCCTTAATATATTTACTTTCTTTAAACGTGAAATACTAATTGACAGTAGAGTTCTATCTAAAACTCTTCATAAAATACTTAAAATTTTCTTCTTGAAAAAAAAAATATCAAATGGACTTATATATATATATAATCTCTTGGTTGAAATTTTTTACTTTATACAAGTGCACAAAACTAACAAATTCAGTGATACTAATATGTATTATGTTATGTATTCAAATTCTAACAAATGATTGAAGATGAAATATCAACCATTTTATTAATAATGATATTATTTTGACAACACAAATTTCCTTTGCTCCTTTCTTTTTAACATAAAAGTACTTCTTTAAACTAAGAAATAAATCAAAAATATTAATCAATGAGATGACTATTATGATTGAAGATTAATTATTAACAAATTTTTAATTTATAATCAGTAATATGGTTAATGTGATCAAAGCTGAAATACTTAAACAATAAGTGAGATAGTAAGGTTTTTATATGTATAATATAAGAATGATATTCATTGGTGTAGTTAAAGTATTATCATTATTTATTTTATTAATTAATTACAAATACATACTTTGTAACAAAAAAATTTCTTAAATCTCTTTCATATTTCGGTAATAAAAAAAATTAGTTAGGATATTTCATGATTAACTTTATTGATTTATTATTAAGATTTTGTTATTTTTTTGGTATGATCCATATTAAATACTCCTTGATCTTGGATCTTTTAATTGGATGATCCAAATATATTTGTCATCAATACCAAATTATCCTTATTGATTTCTAAATTCATTTTCTAAAAAGCAATAATTAAGGGGCAATTATGAAATTAGAATCATAATTTTGCAATGTTTTAATTTGTACTTCTTTTTTAATAATACTAAAATATTTTTACTAATATCAACCCCAAAAAATAATACATTGAAATTAAACAGATTAATCTAATACATCGATAATCTATGAAAACCACCACCAATAAAAGTTGGAAAACCCGAACCAAACATTGGCATTACCATCGGAAACGGTGATGGAGGCGGCGGCGGTCCGTAGAGTCCTGCCATCAACGCAAGATCCATCTGCGGTTCCCTGCACTTAAGACGATCCGAGGTGATTCTGTAGCCAAACCCATAAACAAATCCTTCAGTTTCTTCTACATTGTCGCAGATGTTAGCCATTTTACAGAAAACCCTTGCTGTCAATTCACTATCTGAACCCGCGTGGTGAGCTGTACCAACCCGGTTAAGTCCCAACTCATGTGCTAAACTCTCTAAACCAAGACGGTTACTTAATCCTTCGTACCGACCAGCCATAGCTTTCAAATCGTAAACAGAGCCGAGAATTCTCACCACCGCTTTAGCAAACCTAGATGGAGATTTCGGTAACGATTCTCCGGTGAAACACTTGAGTAGATAAGTGATGTCGTAAGATCCATGAAAAGTCACCCAAGTAATGTTCCTCGTCTTCTTCAGAATCCAAAACAGGTCAGAGAAAAAACCCTCGATTCCGATACCGTGTTCTCTAATCTTCTTAAGATCTAGACCGTTGCGTTTCAAGAACTCGATGGATTTCTCGTTTCTATTGTCTTGAGTCTCGTCGAAATCTGAGAAGTTGATCTCCCAAGTTCCACCGACTCTTCCGTTGTTGTCGAACAGAGTAAGACCTAACTAGATCAGCTTTGTTCTGTCTACGCTGTAACTCATGTCGATGTAGCGTTGCTCGTCATGAGCGTTTTTGGTAGTGTCCCTCAAGCAACCTGGAAACTCAGTATCAAAAGCAATCAATCGGTGGTTTCTTAGACAATCTTCGATCAAAATCATCTCTTCTATACGATTCCAAGCCCATACTTCACGACAAGGGTTAGCTTTGATCTCAGACATCGTGTTTTGTTTTTGGTTTGATTGAACGAGCGAGAGAGAAACACTCAGTGGTGAAGGAGAGGAGAAGAGAAGATAAGAAAACAAGAGCAAAGAAGATTAAGGAAAATAATGTAATGGAGACGTGGGATTCAAGCTTTATATATAGAGTCTTTGAGTCTAGTATTTGCCTTTTTGTTTTTTAATAATTACCAAAAAAAGTAAATTAACAAGATTTTGGAGAAAGGAAATTTCCTTATTTTCGAGTTTGGAGATTTTATATACCGTTTGGATTTTTTTTTTTCCAGATATTTGTAATAGCAATTTCATTTTTATAAAACCAGGTTAAACGAATCCAGGAAGGTTCCAAACTTTTTTTTTTGTTACCAATGGAGATTTTCCTTATCAGCTTTTATGACATTTTAGACATTGTTATTTTTTTTATTTTTTTCAATGTGTGATTACTTTTAGAGCATTTGAGTGTCATTATAAAGACAATGCTACAAACTCAGATTATTGTTTTTTTTTGTTTTGTCTAATATTAAACCAGAATTAAACCTATTTTCAACATATTTCATCACTAGTTATCTTAATGTGATAAGACTCAACATGTTAAAAGAGATTGAAATTCAAAATTGAACGTTTTATTTTATCTTTTAGTTTCTTTAAAATTAATTAAGATGAATGGTTTCTATTCAAATCTTTTTTAGATATATATCTCGTAAATTTAGTACTGTATATGCGATTGGGTATAGTTGTAATGTTTGTTTGATAGAATTTAGCCTGTAATGTGTTCAATTGTTCATTGTGTCTACAAATTTAAGCTGTCATTTATCCTAAAAACGAAATGTTTCTTTTTCACATATTTAATATATGTAAGTTCTCGATTCATTTTGGTATCTATCAATTGCAAACATTGAACATTTCATAGACATTTGAAAAATTTCCGATATAACTGATTTACGAAAAAATTGACTATATGTTTTTGGAAACAAATATTGCTATCGAACAAACCATAGAAGTGTCAATATGTCTTTTTATTTTTTAATATACTAGGCTATTAACCCGTATATCGATTTTTTTCTTAATTCTTTCAAGAGAAAATTATTTCATTTATATTTAAGTATCATTTATCTTTTTCCCAAATTTTTTTTTGATAAAAATAAACAAAAATCGTATATGGATAATGAAAAAAAAAATAGTAACTTGAATTGCTCGTTGTGCTGGTCTTTGTTCTCTTGCGATAACAACTTTTGACAAAACAAACATCTTCAAGATACTCACAATGGTCTCTATGGTGTTCGATCCATACACACAATTGTCTTATCAATCCTATTTTCTCTTCTCCTAATCCCAACAATGTCTCCTTCAGCTTCTCATTGTCTATTTTCTCTTATCTTAACATGACCTTCAAACTTTTTCTCCACATCTTCTTTCTCATTCTTCATTTTTACCACATACTTCTTTGCGGTCAAAATCATATTCGTCAAAACATTAACCACCGTTTCCGCATACTTTTTGTGCTTCTCCTAAAGTTTTTCAGACATGGATTAGAATCAATTTAGTATTGCTTCACTCACTCTAATCTCTTTGATCATACCTCAATATGTTTAATTTATCATTGCAGTATTCTCCTTGAGCAATGCTTGTTTCTCTAAATGCTTAGCTTATATATATTCTCTTCAACTCTCTTTTCTCTTTAACACTTTTTCAGTTATTTATCCATTAAGCTTTATATCTCCTCTCTTTTCATCTCTACTTTAATACCTAAACTCTCTGCTGTTTCTTCTAGATCTACAATCGTGGATACCCTCGTTGCAACATCTTTACCGGTCTCTTGTATTCTCTTCTCCTCCTCGGTTTTGCACTCTTTCAACATCTTTCGGGCTTGGTTGTAAATTGTAATAATCTATTAGATTCCTGATTATTGTTTTTCCGAACAAATTATTGATCTGTTTGTGCTCTCGGTTTAGCTTCTTGTCCTAACAACGCTTTCTCCGCATTGTTTATCTAATAGAAAGTATTTATCAGACCATAAGAGACATTCATTATTTAAGGTTTACCTTTTAAGATTTTCAGTAATACACAAGAGAATAAAATCCATATTTTTAAAAGACACGACTCTCCATTATTACAACTAATATTTGTAAATTTACCTTTACTTAGCATAACATTAATATTCAATATTATATACAAAGATTATAAGTTTCAAATTTTCCATATAGTTTTTTCCAAAAATTTATATTTCTATTTACTATATATTTTCCCCTTTTTATTAATATTTTTTATAGAAAATAATAAAATTTAAAAATGTTAATTAATGAGATATAAAATATGTTAACTAATGAGTTGGCTAACCGCGATTAGTCGTTGAAAATCCTATATGGACATTGTTAGGAGCTTATAACATCAACTTTTATATAGTACTAGGTTTTGAACCCACGCTACGCGTGGGTATATTCGATATAATTTTGTGAAAACTATTTATGATTGAAGATTAATGAATTAACTACTCAAAAAAACATCGTCCATATAAAATTTTAAATTTTAAATTATATGCTTTCTACCATAACTTAGTTTTATGTTTCAAAAATACTCATACCAAATTTCATAAAAACAACAAACAAAGTAACTAACCAAGATATCAATAAATAATAATAAAAATACAAATAAAGATATCGGATTGTGGTTTTTACCTTAGCATCATCGGTCTAACATCATCTCCAATTACTATATTTTAAGAATTTCCCGATCAGAGATCGGAGTGTTCCCACGGGGCAAGGTGTTACAGAATTGCAATAACCAATCAAAACACGGCAAAAATAATACACCATTAAAACACAGTTATAACCTCGATTAGAATTACAAACTCATAAATGGGTGATAAGCAACGCGAATAATAAAAATAAAAACTATTCGAAAAAACGCAAATACAAAGAAAATCATATTATCAAAATATGAACTACACCAAAAAAAAAAAAGAATTTAAAAAAAAAGTCATAACCACGAAACTAATGGAACCAAGTACTAATTTAGAGGTCGAGACTCTATATTTATAGTTGAACTGTTAGGGCTAACCAGTATAATTATCCAACTCGATTTTACTTTTAAAAAATAGAAATTTACTCAAACACAATATTCACAATAAACTATTTGGTAATTCAATAAACAAAACTCAGTATTTTTGTTTTTAAATTTAACAAAAATTAAAATTTTTCATTTTGACTATTTTTAGAATATCTCCATATTTTCTAACATATATTTTATGTCCATAATCTTATTATTTTCCTTTTTACATTAAAAACTTAATAAAGAAATTATTGTAATTTAAAAAAGTTAACTAATGATTTGTCTAATCCGGATAGGTCGTTTAAAATCCTATGTCGACGCTCTCAGAAACTTATAGCCTCAACTTTTATATAGTATAGATATACTAGGTTTTGAACCCACGCATAGCTGGGTAAATTCGATATAATTTTGTGAAAACTATTTATGATTGGCGATTAATGAATTAACTACTCAAAAAAACAACGTCCATCTAAAATTTTAAATTCGAAACTATACGCTTTTCTACAATACATTAGTTTTATGTTTCAAAAGTACTCATACCAAATTTCATAAAAACAACAAACAAAGTGACTAACCAAGATATCAACAAATAAAAAATAAAAAAAAAAGATATCGGATTGTGGTTTTTACCTTAGCATCATCGGCCTAGCATCATCTCCAATTACTATATTTTAAGAATTTCCCGATCAGAGATTCCAATATAGACAATACTCCTATTACATAAACCATAAAAAAAAAAAAATTTAGAATTATACTAAACAATTAAAACACAGAAAAATAATACAACACTATTAAAAACACAAATATAATCTCGAATGGAATAAAAAAACATAAAAAAATGATAAGCAATTCAAATAATACAAACAATTCAAAAAACGCAAAATACAAAGAAAACCATTTTATCAAAAATATGAGCTACACCAACAATAAAAAATCAGAATACAAAACTAATCAGATATTAATGTAGAGGTCGAGACTCTATATTTATTGTTGAATTGTTAGGGCTAACTGCATAATTATCCAACTTAGTTTTACTTTTTAAAAATAGAAAATTTTACACAAACAAAATATTCACAATAAATTTTGAAATATATTAACACAAAAATTAATAAAAGAAATTAAATATTTTCGTTATTAAAATTAATAAAATTCAATTATATATTTGATTAGTTTTATATCATTTATTTTTTATGATTGACGATTAATGAATTAACTACTCGAAACAACGTCGTCCATCTAAACTCCTAAACTCAAAGTTAGATGCCATCCTAACATAACTTAGTTTTATGTTTTAAGAATACTCATACCAAATTTCATAAACAAAAGACAAACTAACTAACCAAGATAGCAATAAATAATAAACAAACAAACAAACAAATAAATATATCTTTCTAGCATCATCTCCAATTTCTTCATTAAAAAAACTTTCCCGATCGAATATCCCAATATAGAAAATACTCCTTACATAAACCATTACAAAGTTAGAATTGCAACAAACAATCAAAACACGGCAAAAATAATACAACATTAAAACACAATTATAACATCGAATAGAATTACAAACTCATAAATGGGTGATAAGCAACTCGAATAATAGAAAATATTCAAAAACAGAAATGCAAATACAAAGAAAATCATATTATCAAAATATGAACTATACCAAAGAAAAAAAGAATTAAAAAAAAAAGTCAGAACTACGAAACTAATGGAACCAAGTACTAATTTAGAGATCGAGACTCTATATTTATAGTTGAACTGTTAGGGCTAACCAGTATAATTATCCAACTCGATTTTATTTTTTGAAATAGAAATTTACTCAAGCACAATACTCACAATAAATTATGAGAAATTGATATCAATAACCTTTTTATGATACCCTCTTTTAAAAATACCTTTTTTGCCATTTTCATTTTTGCCCTCTCTTAAATTTTAATTGCCATTTTACCCCTATTTGAAAGAATATTCTTTCCCAAAGGAAGGAATGTTCCTTCCAAAAAATTTCCCCCCAAAAATTTCCCGCCAAAAAAAAAAAATTCCGAGAAAAATTTTCCCGCCAAAAAAATTTCCGAGAAATTTTTTCCAGCCAACATGTTTTCCGAAAAAAAATTTCCCGCAATAAAAAATATTTTTATAAAATTTTCCCACCTAATTTTTTAAAGGGTTTACCAGATTTTTTAAAGGGTCTTTTAAAGGGTTTACAAGGGTTTTTAAAGGGATTTACAATAGTTTTTAAATGGTTTTTAAAAGATTTGTAATGGTTTTTAAAGGGTTTTAGAAGCCTACAAAGGTTTTAAATGATTTACAATGGTTTTTAAAAGTTTTAAAAGGATTTCAAGGATTTTTAAAGGATTTTAAAAATTTACAAGGATTTTGAAAGGTTTTTAAAAAGGATTTACAAGTGTTTTTAAAAGGATTTACAAGTGTATTTAAAGGTATACAAAGATTTAAAAATAGTTTTAAAGGATGTACAAGGGGTTTTAAAGGGTTTTAGAAGTTTACAAAGGTTTTTAAAGGGTTTACAAAAGTTTTTAAATGTATTACAAGTTCTTTAAAATGGTTTTTAAGGATTTACAAGCGTTTTTAAAAGGTTTTAGAAGTTTATAAAAGTTTTTATTAAATGATTTATCACGGTTATAAGGGGTTTAAAGGGATTTACAAGTGTTTATAAATGTTATAAAATGATTAACAATGATTTTAAAAGGTTAACTCAAGTTTTGAAAGGTTTTGGATGACTTTTAAAAGATTTACAAGGTTTTTGAAAGGATTTTAAGGGATTTAAAAATATTTACAAGGTTTTTTAAAAGATTTTGTAAGGAATTATGGAAACATTTTGGCGGGAAAATTTTTGGCGGAAATTTTTTGGCGGGAAATTTTCCGGAAGGAATATTCTTTTTGTTGGAAGGAATATTCTTTTTGTTTGAAAGAATATTCTTTTTGTTGGAAAGAATATTTATTTCTTCATCAAGGGTTATAATAAAGGAGGGTAATTTAGTCTTTTTGTACATTGAAAAGGGTATTTTGAAAATGTACACCTAGAGAGGGTACTTGTAGAAAAGGGTATCATAAAAAATTTAGTTGTGCAAATCCCCCATAAATTATTAAATAATTTATCATTGTACAATGATAACATTTGATTTTCAATAAAGCTTTATGTGTTAAAAAAAAAAAATTATTAAATAATTTAATAAACAAAACTCTGTATTTTTGTTTTTAAATTTAACAAAAATTTAAAAAATTTGCATTTTGATTATTTTTATACCATTTATTTATTATGAAAATGAAATATTAAATTTAGAAATATCTCCATATTTTGTAATATATCTTTTATGTCCATAATCTTATTATTTTCCTTTTTACATTAAAAACTTAATAAAGAAATTATCATAATTTAAAAAATGTTAAATATTGAGATGTCTAATCCCGATTGGTCGTTTAAAATCCTATGTGAACGCTCTCATAAGCTTATAGCCTCATATAAATTTAATTATTAATTATAATTAAAGCCATTTCTTATAGTATCACTTATGTGGATGCTCTTATAACTTGATCCGACTAGAATCTCCTATATGGTTGTATCCACTATGTGTTTGTAAATTAAAGCAACAAATACCCGACATAATAATAAAACCCATAAGTAAACTTCCAAACATTAATATAGAATAGAACATAGAATAAGAGTAGTTGTAGATGACACTACATGCTGTATAATTATTCTAGCAGAAAAGGTATAATTAGAACAATATAGTATTTTATATTTATCACACTGCATATTATTGAATATGCAAAGATATAATAATATTAGTGCTATATTTACTTTTAGTTGATAAAAAGTAATTCATTATATTACAGAATGAAAAAAACATAATAAAAAAATATCCTATTTCGATTTTTATGAACAGTGACACCAAACATGGTGTGCTACTCTTTATAAAAAATTAAGAATAAATAGATTCTATGAGAATAAAATTCCATAAAGATGAAGTAACACTATACATATATAGTTATGGTCCTTATGGATCCCGTTGGAGAAGTCCTTAGTAAAACTTAGACCATCCTTAAAGGTGGGATCTTAAGCTAAGATTTTGCAAAGAGAATATCTTATATAGATCCCACCTTTACGAATCCCCTTAGCAACGAGAACATGTGCATATAACCTCACGTACTGCTTTTGTTTCACTACAATCGCAACGCTTTACACTTTTATCGTTTAAGATATTTAGACACTTCTGGCTTCCATTCGTGCCACAATTTCCACGGTAGGTATTTTTAATCTGACACTCTTTTGGTTTTGCTTGTCCTATTTTCAATTAACCATACAACAAACTTCAAAGTTAGACAAAGTGTAGGTAAAAATAGATTAGACAACAAAAAATTGAGAATGTAATTTTTCAACACCGATATTTCGATTTATACGAATAACAAATTAAAATCGAAAGAAAAAATAAATAAATTACCTTTAACATTGTTTAAAGCAATGAACATGAAAACACATAAAACTATAAACAAAGTAGTAGATCTCATGATTCAGAAAATTAATAAAAGTCTTTTATTTACTTTATTTGCAGTATTTTTTTAGTAATTTTCTTGTACTTATTCATAATAAATATACTTAACACCTACTAAAAATAGATTTTACTAAACTAGATTAAAGAAAACAAATAAAACTAAGAAACAGAAAAGGGTGGCCAGGCCAAGTCAAACCACAAGATCAGTGGTTTATTTTTAGAGAAAATTTTCCTTTTCTACGGAAAATAAGAAAATTAATACTTCAAAAAAAAAATTAATACTTTATAATTTTCAAATAATGTCTAAATTTTAGATTTTACGTTGCACCACTGTTCAGAAATTATATGCTCATTCTAATCTTTGTCGACTGTAATGTAGACCTTTTTGAACATAAGCCTTAAAACCATGTTGTAATTTATACTTACATCTATGGTCATACCCTTGTAATGTAATGGCATACATCATTTATCCGAACATGATATAGTTAGTGTCGTTGGAATCAAGATATATAAACTCTCAGATTTAGACTTTGCTTGCCCTCAACTAAACAAGAACTCAATCATGAAAAAAGGTTTGAAAAATTACACGAACAGTGAAAAAAGGTTTGAACAATTAAGTGAAAATGTTATTTTTTTTTACTTTAATTTTGATTTACTTTTTTAAATAAAAAATAATGGTGCATATTGGACAACTCTTGTTCACCTTTTTTTAATTATCCAATCAACATACAATAATATATCATGACATTTCTATTTAAATATAAATCAAAATTGAAATCTAAAAATAAAACAGATTAAAGTAACAAATTGTGTAGTATTTTTATTAAGGAAATTATATTTCGGTTTTGGTTTATAAAAGAGTGGTTAAAAATTGAGAATTTTTGAGAAATGCCCCTTTTGGTGTACCCCTTTTTAAAAATACCATTCTTTTCTATCCATTTTCAAAAATACCCCTTTTCAAATATGAAATATTATAAACTTTTATATGGTTGATAAGGTGCATCAAGATCATTATTACTACTGGAAGACTAAATCAAAATATTTATAAGGTTATAAAATGTTCTAAACGGCATTTATAAGGTTTTTATAAGGTTTTAACAGGTTTACACAGTTTTTATAAGGTTTTTAAATGATTTTTAAAAGGTTTTTAAAAGGTATTTATACAGTATTTATGAAATATATATACAAATTTACACACATATAAAGATAATCTGTGTCTTTAAATATACATTTACACATATGTTTTTGATAAATTTCAAATTTTATAGTGACTTTTTGATAAAATTAGAAAGAGGGGTATTTTTAAAAAGTGGTATTGGAAAAGGGGTATTTTTGAAATTCCCCCTTAAAGATTAGATCCTATAAATAAAAGAAATTATATTTAGGTTTGGGTTTATAAAATAGTGGATAGGGTTTAAATTTTGAATTACACGAAATTTTAGTTCGTTTTTAAATTTATAAAAGAGTGGTTATGGTTTAGATTTTATGAATAAAAAAAGTTGTATTTCGTTTTGGGTTGATAAAATAGTGGTTAGGGTTTTGATTTTGTAATTTAAAAAATTATATTTCGTTTTAAGTTTCTAAATAGTGGTTAAGATTTGTTTATTTTTTTTTATTTCAGTTTTGATTAAAAAAAAGTATATGACATGACATATTATTGTATTTTGATTAATTAATTAAAAGAGGTGTATAAGATAGGTTTACCTATTGCTGAACTCATGATGACTAACTAGGATTTACCACGTGGTACACTACGGATCCATAATTTAATATATTTATTTGGTTGATCATTTTTCGTAGTTGGTTTATATAGTCTAGTTTTATTAGTATTTATTTCATTTTAATTTTATATAATTTTATGAATTTGTATTATAAGTAGATTCATAGATATATCTGGTCAACCCGCGGTACAATTTTTATTTTTATTATAAATATAATTTATGTAATAATATAAATTAAAACAAATAAAATTATATACATATATTGGAGATAGAGATTTAGATTTTAGGAATTTTTTTTTTTCAAAACGGGCCATTTTATTAAAAAAAAATTCCCAAATGGGCCGGGCCACAAAATACAAGGGTACAAAAACAGAAGAAACTCGGAAACCTAGACCACCGGCGTCGGAAAAGCGACTCGTGTCGTATTGACACCGCGAGCAGAAAGTCAGGACCATTAGCACCGGTGAATGCGAGGTCCACAGCTTTGCAAAACACCAAGGGAACTAGAAAGCGGGAAGGAAGCATCCAATCCCGTCACCGTTTCTTCTCCCTCGACCTATCAACCCGCCACAAGCCTCCCGAGATGACCAACTTCCGACTACCCAGCACGTTGTTGACAACTCCCAGACCAAGCAAGCAGCCAACTTCGGACATTACCTCGTCTCTCTTGAACCGGCAAGTCTCCAATTCGTTTCACCAAATCTCCTCGAACCGACCCAAAGAAAGCAAGTCACGATGGCGAATAGGGCCGACGGCTCAATCAGAAGCCTAAACGCACAAAATCCGCGATGGCCGACAAGATCCAAAAGATCCGCCGTTAATCTCCAAGGCGCTTCAGCCACCCACCGTCTCCTCCTTTGGCTCCTGCCGTAGATTGATCTCCGACACAACGGGCGAGCCACGAGAGACGGCCAGCTACACCTACCGACGCCCTCAAACCGGAGTCTGTAGCATCGCTCTCTTACCGCCACACCGAGACTAGATCTATGCCAATGAAGGACAAAAAACCTCACCCATGCTAACAGGGAGGAGATTTAGCTGCCTCTGTTACACCAAGTACCTTGTGGGGATGAAGAACAATGCCACAAAGAAACGGATCTGAGACTTTTCGGAAAAGTTTTTTAGGAGAGAGAAGATAGTGCTATCTGGAATGATTGGTCTTTTTCTATTTCTTTAGGAAATTTTTTTGATGTAATAAATATTTGTTTCCAGTTTTGCGATTTGTTTTTTATTTTAATTACAAAATATACTTTTAAAATATTACAAAATTAAATGTTATATAACACAAAATAGATTGTAGTACAAAATGTACTTAAAAAATGTTAAGATAGATGATGTATTTTTCCAAACTAATTTTTTTTTTGTTTTTTTTTTTTAAGATATTAAGCTGAAAATAGCACTCATTCTAAATATCCCCAGTTTTAATTTTTTTTAAATGGCCATTTGGGTTTTAGGGCTTAAAGAAGAGTAAATAGCATAAAAACCTACTTTTATCCAAACTATTTGCCAAAAAACCCACTTCTTGCTACCACCATACTTTCTACTAACAAAATGACTACCAAACCTTCAAACACTCTAACACATTTCTTTCCTTTCGTTTCTCTATTTTTGTATATTATTATTATTATATTATTATTACAACAAAAACAAAAATTTGGACCTCTCGCTGCTCCTTTTTTTTTCTATAGTCATTGTCATCGTGGGTTCCACTTTTTTGCTGGGAAAAGAAAGATTTCAGTTTTTTTATGGTTTTACTTCAAATTTTGGGAGGAGGGAGGTTCACGGTAGGAAAGCTATTGAAAGAGAGAAGATCGAGATTCCCCATCCAATGACTAAACTCACTGATGTCGTCTCCGACAAAACCAATGAAGCACCATGATAAACCAATCGAAGATGTTGCTTCGTCAAACACGGCGGCGATCTTAGTTTGTTCATCAAACCTTTAATTTCAGTTGCATCCACCGTTAATCATCTACTCAAAGCCTTGTTTTGTTTTTGATTGTGTTTTTATCCATCAGTTTCTGACACTCCTTAGGTTTCTAACGCTAATTTATATGTATCTTTGTTGTATTCTGCAAATATGTCTCTAGTTTTTCCAGAATTTTATGAGTTCTTCTGAGGTATCCATGGAACTTTGTACATATGGTTATCATTTGTAGCAAACTAAACCTCCAACGAAAGAGAAGAAAGGGATAAGGATTCTGATTCATGGTCAACTTCATATCTCAAAAGTAAATGCAATTTACCCCAATCATGGCTTTGGTGTTGCATTTTCTCTCATCTATGATCATTACAATATACTTTATATTACATACGTTAAATGACCATATGGTCAAATCCGTGTGGAATCAGCAGTAACCTATTTAAGTTTTACTATTTAGGTTTAAGGGTTTAGTATTTAGTGTTTTTATTTAGGGTATAAAGTTTAGGGTTTAGGATTTAGGATTTTTTTTGTTTTATGTTTAGGGTTTAGATTTTAGTGTTCAAAGTTTTTGAATCCATGTGGATAGAATCGGTTGTTCACATATACATTTCTATCAGTGAACACGTGTTCAAGTACATATGGATAACATAAAATATAAAAATTCATCAAAAATATAGCAAAATGCATTTTAAAATGTAGGAAAAATATAATCATAAACTATTGTACAATAAAAAATAGATAATATTTTGACAAAAATTATCTATAGTGAAAACAAGAAATAAAAGAAAGTGAGAAGAGAAAAGAAAGAAACTAAAAATATTTTTCTTTCATTCACTTCAAATCCGACGGTTGAGATTAGATGAACTCAAATACTCTTTCAAACACAACAAAATGTTATTTTCGTCCTACAATTTGACACCTCAGTAGAAAAGATGTGGAAAAGTACACCTCCATTTTTCGAAGTATGTTATCTTGCAAAAAAAAGCAAGCAAAGTAGGTTATTCAGCAATTGACTCAAACATCTCTTCTTCTTCGATAACTCTGTTTCCCTCTGTAAAATCAAATCGCCATTTTTGATGCGGTTGCCATTATTTTCTCCAATTCTCTTCTTACTCTCACACTTGCGTTTGATTCGAAGAGCTTCCACCTCTTCACGTTTCTACGCCGTCTCTGCAATAAACCCTAATCTCTCAGATTCTGAACCACAAAATCATCCTAATCTCTCCAAACTTAACCAATCCAGTCTCCTCCGATTCCTCAATAGTACCAGAGATGACCCAAGTCTCGCTTTGTCGTTTTTGGAACAGCTTAAACAACATGGTGTTTCTCCTAATGTTAATGCTTACGCTACTCTTGTCCGAATTCTCTCTGCTTGGGGTTTGGACAGGAAGTTAGATTCTGTTTTAGTTGAACTTATTAAGAACGAGGAGCGTGGTTTCTGTGTAATGGATTTGATTGAAGTTATTGGAGAAGAAGCTGATGATGTCGTTATGGTCCGAGGCTCTAGTGCGTTGGTTAAAGCTTATGTTAGTCTTGGTATGTTTGATGAAGCTATCGATGTTTTGTTTCAGATTAAGCGATTAGATTGTGTTCCTAGTATAAAGTCTTGTAATTTCTTGATGAATCGTTTGATTGAGTTTGGGAAGATTGATATGGTGGTGGCTCTGTTTAAGCAACGTAAGCAGTTAGGGCTGTGTGCAAATGAGTATACTTATGCAATTGTGGTTAAGGCATTGTGTAGAAAAGGTGATTTACAAGGAGCTGCTAAGTTGCTTGTGGATAGTCCAAGTGTGTTTGTTTATAAGACTTTCATTGAAGGACTTTGCGCGAATGGGGAAACAGAGACAGCTGTTGATTGGATCGGAGAAATGATCGGAATGAATTTTATGGTTGGTGATGACCTTAGAACTGCGTATAGCATGGTGGTTCGCGGTTTTTGTAATGAGATGAAGATGGAAGCTGCTGAAAGTGTTGTTCTTGAAATGGAGAAGAACGGGTTTGGTCTTGATGTTTATGCTTGCTCTGCGGTGATTGATCGGTACTGCAAGAACTTGAATTTACCTGAGGTGTTGCGGTTTTTGGATAAAATGTTGGGGAAAGGACTGAGAATAAATTGTGGTATTGTGAGTTCTGTTCTGCAGTGTTATTGTCAGATGGATATGTGTTTGGAAGCATTAGAAAAGTTTAAAGAATTTAGCGATATGAACATTTTTCTTGACAGAGTTTGTTACAATGTCGCGTTTGATGCTTTGGGGAAGCTTGGTAGAGTGGAAGAAGCTGTTGAGTTGTTCCGAGAAATGATGGATAAAGGAATGGTTCCTGATGTTATTAACTATACAACTCTTATAAATGGCTACTGTCTTGAAGGTAAAGTTGTTGATGCACTTGATTTGATTGATGAAATGAGAGGAAATGGTATTTCTCCTGATTTAATCACTTACAATGTGCTTGTCAGTGGATTGGCTAGGAATGGTCATGAGGAAGAGGCTCTTGAGATTTATGATAGAATGAAAGCTGAGGGTCTAAAGCCTGATGCTGTCACTCACAATGTGATTATTGAAGGCTTGTGTTTTGCACGTAAAGTAAAAGAAGCCGAAGATTTCTGGAAGAGTCTAGACGACAAATGCCATGAAAATGATGCTAGTTTGGTGAAAGGTTACTGTGAATCTGGCCTTTCTAAAAAAGCCTATAAACGATTCATTGAATTGGAATACCCTTTGCGCAAGAGTGTGTACATCAAACTATTCTTTAGTCTCATCACCGAGGGTTATCACGACAAAGCTCTTGACGTACTGAAGAAAATGTGGGCTTATCGAGTTGAACCTGGGAGGAGCATGTGTGGCAAAATGATTGGGGCGTTGTGTAGGTCAAATAATGCGAGAGAGGCCCAGTTGTTATTTGACACAATGATTGAGAGAGGACTCATCCCTGATCTGTTTACTTATACAATCATGATTCACACTTACTGTAGGCGAAGTGAGTTACAGAAAGCCGATGATCTTTTCGAGGACATGAAGCAGAGAGGAATAAAACCTGATGTGGTAACATACACAGTTTTGCTTGATAGATATCTGAAGTTAGATGCAGAGCATCATGAAACAGGTTATGTTCAAGAAGAAAAGCAAAGAAGCAAAGCTTCAGAGGTTTTGAGAAAATTCACAGCTGCCGGTATTGAACTAGACGTTGTATGCTATACGGTTCTGATAGATCGTCAGTGCAAGATTGACAACCTAGAAAATGCTGAGAAGCTTTTTGATAGAATGATAGACAGTGGCCTGGAGCCTGATATGGTGGCTTACACAACACTACTATCTGGTTATTGTCGAAAAGGATACATAGATAAGGCAGTAACACTTGTTACTGAATTGTCAGAAAAGGATTTTGTACTGTCTGAACATTTTGGGGATGCAATTAAGCGTGCTGCTTTGAAGCTGAAGAGATCTCAACAAAATCAGGAATGAAGGGTTTATATCATTAGTGTAACTGTGGAAGGTCCATCTATGTAAATTGTTATGGGTATCAATTGTATATTATTTAGTCTATCTTATCTTGCTTTTTTATATCTAATCTTCTAAGTTAATTAATCACAAACTGAAAATTTTCAATCTTACCATTCATACATCTTGACTGTGTTGATAAACCTAACTGAGACTCTCCTAGGGTTTCGAAGCTTGGGGATCAATCATAATGTTTACGGTTCATAATCTTACCGTACATAATTGTATATTGTTAGTGCCCTTATTCATAATGTTTACAATTTGTTAATGTACAATAATAATGAATCAACTTTATATGACGCTAGTTGTTGATTTAAAGACCATTATTTTGTTCTAGTTGGTCCTAGTTGTTCAAAGAACATAAGCATGCGTTGTCATGTCAACTCTTCGACGGCAGCTTCACTCGACATCGTCTTCACTCTTCAGCACCACCAACACTCTTGCTGCTCTCTTCTTTAGAGGTCACCCTTAAGTCTTCTTCCCAGTATCAGATGATTCCATGTTTAGGTCAAATTCAGCAGCCATTTTGGGTAATCGATTCTCATCAAAGACCCCCCAATCATCATAATAACAGACATATGCAGTTTCCATCACGTCATAACCATTTCCAACCCACCTACTATATGGAACATTGGAATCCCTCATGATTGCATCTCCAGGAGATACCTCGTCGACACTCATAGAATCAAGATCCATGATCTCATTCCTGAAAGACAAGATTTTCTTACCAGTATATGATAGCAATTTATCAATATCAGTTAGGGAGAGATCAACAAGCTCACGACCAAAATTGAGTTCGAACATGAGATGATCCATCTCCAACTCCTCGATAGCCTTCCGGGTATCGACTATTTTCTTCTCAATCTTTTGGATATTGGCATGGATGAATGACTCCGATCAACGGCCTTCTTGTTCCTTTCAGACTCGGTCAAAGAGTAGTACTTCTCTATGAGCGAATTCGCCTCTTCGATAGATGGCCACAACACAACATGATCTACTTCACGATCAAACACCACGAGACAAGCTCTCACGTCGCAAATAATCGAGATCTTTTTCGTTTTCTTGATGAGTCCGGCAAGCCTCATCTTAATGTTGGCTCTCCCCGCTCTCTGGTTGGGCCAATCCAAGGTCACTTTTCTCCTCCCCATTTTTTTGTTTTTTTGCTTTTCTTTTTCTTTTGTGTGTGTTTGTAAAAAGATAATCATGGTGATCTTATATATAAGAAAAACGAGGGATAAGATATAAGGAATGTAATAACTTAACACTATCTCCATATGTTGACTACTATTGTGCAATTAAGAGTCAAATAATGTTGAACTGATTTTTTGGGAACTTTGTAAAAACAAAAATTAGGGGTTTTACGTGTAGAAATCGCGTCATGATTCTGCATCTAAGTATTTTTTGGTTTCCTCTTCTATATATGTTATTAATTAACATTTTTCATGTAGCTTTTCTACTTGTTTTTACAATACCTCAATTTTATTTTAAGTAGCATCATCATTAATCACTTTTCTAAATGAATTTTCTGTTTTGTATTTTATTTAATTTCATAATAAGAATAATATTTTTGTATGCCAAGAATAAAATGCATTCGAGAGGGTAAAAGCGAAGAAATGCAGCTAAAATACTTAATGTTTAGTTATTGTATGAATAAAAAGAGTAGATCTCTTTTTTGCAGTGTTCGTACTTCGTAACACTAACTTTGATACACATACAACAACGTTGTCATAACATTTGCTAATCCCTCCCAGACTCGTGTGACCCTTGATTCAGTGTATCACTCTGGAAAGGACTTGGCATATTCTGTTTTGGTTCAAAGAGGCTGTCCTAAAGCACACTTTTCATATGTGGGTAAGATTGCCCATGCGGCAAAGGCTTGTTTCCTGGAGAAATATTTAGCCTTAAAAATGTTTATATATGCTCAAATGTTTCAGATTCTCGGGACCATCTCGTCCTAGTTTGTAATTTTTTTTCCCAACTTTGGATGTTGGTCTTTTCTAGATTTTGCCCTTAACAGCGACTCTTAATCTCATTATCAGAGCTGCTCTCTTAAGTCGTCGCGTTCCATCCCTTTTAAAGGTTTACAACAACAAAAATATCATTTTCGGCAAACCCAAAAAATTACATTACATATCTCTTTTATCTTTTCCTCTGTCTCTCTCTCTTTACTATCAGGTATCATCACCGACCATCATCATCGACCATCATCATCATATCCATTTGCTTCTAATAGGCTTAATCAGTTTACAAGTCCCACAATTCTTTGGTTATTGAATAATAATGATGATATTTTTTTTTGCAAAGGAATGGTATTAGATATTGCGATTTTATCGTTTGTTCAGTCACCATTTTGCATTTTGGGTTTCCCTAAACTCATCTCACAAACTCGAATGCAACACGCATATATATTAGCTAAATAGTCTATAAACTTAATGAACTTGTTTTTTAAATGGACCTTGTATAAGTAAGCAAGCAACAAAATAAACAACGTTTGAGATTCTCATTTATGTTATATCACATAAGGTTATGAATATAACTAAAAATCTTCTTTGTGCTTACTTAGATAACGAGGCGAGTTTTGCAACCGCATCCCTGGATTTTCTCAACAACGACTTGGCTTCTTCGCTCTTCTCAAGCTCAAGTAAAGAATCAATCTCTGCTTTGAAATCTACTTCCACGGGATGAAACGACGAGACTGTGCTACACAGTTCGATCAACTCAAGCAGGCATGTTGAAGCAGCCACATGAAACTGAGGATTTATGTCAAAAAGACATTCAATACGGATTTAGTTTTAAAGACAAAATAGATAGCTTGTGAGATTATTACTACAACCATATGATATTCTCAATCAATTTTAGTCACGCAAATAATAGAATGTAGATAATCAAAACGATTTCGATATCCAAACATTCGGGGTAGGTGGCATCTTGTTGAATAAACATAGATTTTATCGATAGTTGATTCAAATGTTTTGTTAAACGAAAGGATTAGACCAGTCGTAGTTGAACCCAGTCCTATACCCAGAACAACGGTACTTTCCTTCTAACTAATACGAATGCAAGTAACTCAAAAGCATTATAACTAACTTGAGAAGAAGATACTCTACATGCAAGTAAACTAGAAATAAGTAACGAGACTTTTCACCAAGCTACCCCGATTTAAACCTAATAAGGACATCAACTTTCAGAAATTAAGGTTCCATGTATGCCCTAAAGATTTGTTAAGTGAAAAACGAAATACCATAACCGCGAAATGTGTTTCAGTTTTCATTTGGTGCAGACTGTCATGGGAATTGAATACAACTTAAAAAAACATACCTGTGCTATCTTCACTGTGTGTATGCATTCCAGTAGTTTAGGAACTATTGAGTGATATAACTGAAAAGCAAGCAGAATAATTAATTTGCAGTTCAAAATTATTCATGCATGGGGTAGTAACTGAGTTAAAATCATTTACCTCATGAACGAATTTTGTCGAATCACTAGGTACAAGGTCATCCATAGAGTCAGTCCATAGACTCTGAAACTTTGAACAAAGCTTTCCCACACATGATATTCCAGACATTTTTACTGTCCACGAAAGATTAGATTAGGTTAAAGTAATTAAAAAGTTTATTGGAAGATTAAGTGAGAAGAAACTAGTACCAGTCCACAGAAAACCAGGTGACAAGGAAATTAGAAGAACATGAATCAAATCTGCTTTCTGGCTAAGAATGTCATCTATGGTTGCCACTTGGATGCAAGACTTGACGCATTCCATAATTTTTTCAAGTGGGACTTGTCCTTCTTCTCCATTTTCTGATTCTGAAAACAAAATGTGGACTGTTCAGACTACTGAGACAATTTTCTGATGGTGCAGGACCTATTTCATATATGAGCTTTTCAATGAGGTAAGGGATTTATATTTCCTTGATCAACTTTCGATTTATAGTAAACAATTAATGTTTATCTGACTATTTTTTACCTCTAGTTCCCTAATCTAAGTTAATAATCACCCAGCTGGATGAGACCAAAAAAACAAGATCTAACAGGTACAATCAACATATTATCTAGTGTGACCCCAAACAAGTGATGCAAAAGTGTTATCAATGGAAGCATGGGACTCATGGGGTTGTAGAGTGGTCGTGTAACAACCTGTTTTGACAGCATCACTTGCTGCCTGAACTTGAGTGCTCGTTTTGATGGAGGCTGTATTACACATCTCATACAACATCGGGAAAACGGTATGGAAAAACTCTGGATCGCCAAAAGCTACGATGACCTGAATAATATAATCATAATATTCAAAGATCCACTAACCAAAATGATGTGTAAGAACTGCATTATTAGCAGATTTAGATATCATGATCGATCTCTTAAATTTTGCATAGTAAGCCGCAACTAGTCTATTACTTACCTTCTCCAGACAAGAAAAGGCTGACTCACGATACTTCTTGAGTTTCTTTTTGCATGCAGAACAAATAAGGCTCAAGATGGTAGATGGAGCTGTTGGGTCCTCCTTCGTTATTACCTCGTGGCAAGCGACTGAAAGAGCACCTAGGGCATCCAAAAGAGCATCCTTTCCCTGCAATCAGAATATAGTTTTGAAAAATTAGTGTAACAAAAGTGGCTCTATACACACACCAGCTCTATCCATCCTCAGGGATAATCAAAGCAGAGTTGCAGCTCTCAGTGGAGCAACAAAAATAATTCTCTCGAATTTAATTATTTTCTGCTGCTACAGTATCTCATGTAACTTTTTGTGAACCTTCAAGGAAAAGGAAAATGAAAATAAATATTAGAATGAAAAAATCTGTCCCACCTCCCATAAACGTCCAGGAAGTTCATTGAGAAGACACTGCAGCAATCTCTTGTAGTGCGGCGATAGTGATTCACCCAAGACTTCAGTTAGTTTGCAAATTGCCTTACCAGACTGAAAGCAAGTTTAAATTTGAAGTAAAACAGCTGAAATACCAACTAGAACAATGAAGAGAGCAAACTGGCATGAGAAAGACAAATAACATTACCTTCTTTTTGCTTGCCCATGACGATGATGTCATGCTCTCGCAAATATGATTCACAATTTCTTGCAGAAAAACCTGCAGTGTAACCCTTTCACCACTTGTGATGTCTTCCCAAACCTCC